CTCCCTTCCTCCCCTTCTCTGTCTCTGTCTCTGTCTCTGTCTCTCTCTGTCTCTCTCTGTCTCTCTCTGTCTCTCTCTGTCTCTCTCTGTCTCTCTCTGTCTCTCTCTCTCTCTCTCTCTCTCTCTCTCTCTCTCTCTCTCTCTCTCATAAGAGGAACCTAGGGCATGAAAGCGCTGCCGGATGAGCACTTATGCTCTGCTCTGCTACTCTAGCTCTCGGCACCTGTCTGTCCCTTCCCTCCATCTCTATTCCTTCAACGACTTCTCCCAGCAGAAAAAAGCCACCTCAGCCTCCTTTTGTCCAACTCAACTTTTTTCTGTAGTTTCTTTTGTCCTTGTCTTTCTTGCTGCCGATGTATTTAAAAAACCACCTTCTGAAATAATTTTTTCCTTCATATCTAAGGTTCTTATTTTGCTCTCTTAGGGATCTGGCTCCAGCATTTAATCCCACTCTTTCAAATTTTTATCATTTTTATTACAGTAGATAATTGACCTTAGCTCAGGAGCATGCATAATTTTCCATTATCCTCAAAATACCTTCCCCAGACTCAGCCTTTCTGTCATTCTACTGCCTGACCCGCTTCCTGGAGTTATAGCTTAGATAGAGAAGGCTGTCTGCCCTCCAGGGCTCTGCAGATGGCACACACTTACAAAGATCTCAGCTAAATTGAATTCAGAGGGTCAATTTTATTTTCCAAAGTAAAGAGTTCTGGGCTAATTATGCTCGAGGTTGAATTTTGAACTGAGGCCATAAAAGGGAACGGATGATACTTCCAGGCTAGAACTGGACGCTGACGACCTTGCCTCTTACCATTACAGGCCGAGAAGACCTAGGAGCAGAAGAGCTGCGCTCGGCCTCTGTGCGCTGTGGCGACGCTGTCTGGGCTTGCTTAGTGCTGGGACCAGAAGCACAAGTGGGCTCACAGGGCCTGAGCACGGGGGACTCAGGAAATCTGCTCCTAAGTCTGAGATGCAGTCGTCACCTCTACCCTGTGTTTCTTGTATCATAGTAATCATCTTTCAGCCACAAAAATCAGAAAAAGGGCCCAAATGACTCCATAGACTGGTGTCTGAATTGTACCAGTAATCACACTATTGCTTTATCTGTCTCTACATTTTTTTCTAGAATGTTCAAAAGCAAATCTTAGCCAGCATATAGTGTCATTTACAAATGTGTTGCCACTTATCTCCTTCCAAACAATACAAATACAAGAAAAAAATATTCTTTAATATTATTTTATACCCATCTGTATTCCATTTTTTTTTTTTTTTCTGCTGTTTTAAAAATACGCTTCTAGGAGCCAAGGAGATAGCTCAGTGGAATAAGTGCTTGCCTAGCAACCACAAGGTCCTGAGTTTAATCCCTGGTACTGAAAAAAAAATGCTTCTAAGGATGGAGAGATAGCTTGGCGGTCTAAGCACCTGCCTGGAAAGTGGGAGGATTCAGTTTGATCCCTGATACCGCATGCCGAGCTGGCCCCGGGATGCCGTGGGCACCATAACAGCCCCAAAGCTGGACGTGGTGACACAGGCCTGTAATCCCAGCACTGTGGGTGCTGAGACAGGAAGATCACTAGGAGTCCTAGACGCATAGTGAGCCTCTGTACCACCTAAATAAGTAATTCTAAAAAATACTTCTGCGGTTTCTCCCCTGCAGATCAGGATCTAAACAAGCACCATGCATTGCACTCGGTTCATTTATCACTTAGAATTTTGTTAACTACTTTCTCCTTCATTTACATATTACCATTTATTTAACAAGAGAAATGAGTTGGCCTGTAGAATTTGCACATTTCCATTGTGGATTTGGTTGTTTTCATTCAGCTGTTTGTGATGTCCCTCCAAAGCTCTACAGCTTGTAATTTGGAAGGCAGAGTATACAGTGTTATAGTCTAAGAAGATACTTGCATTTTTTCTTCCCTCTTTTCTTTCCTGTCTCCTTCCCTCTCTGTTTCTTTCTTTTCACAAGAATTCTAATCATTCTCAGAAGCTGTGTAGTACCTGACTGCCCTATGCTTAGCAATTGAGTAGGGTTTTAGGATGTACCATCCTGATCCTTCTGTCCTGAAGTTCCCAACTTCTTGGCTCTTATAGTTTTATCCGTTGCTTATTGCTGATAAACACTTGATGCTTTAAGCATTTTTTAGATTCTTCTGTTTTTATTAGTTCTGTCTTTTTTTATAAAATCTTTGGTCCAGGCTGGCCAAATAGCTCAGCGGATTAAAGCACCTGCAAGTAGGCTCAGGGGCTGCAGGTTCAATCCCTGGGCCTGCCATGCCTGCCCAGCCCGCGAGGCATGCTGAGACAGCAATTGAGACTGGGCATGGTGGTGCGCACCTATAATCCCAGCTTGTAGGAGGCTGTAAACAGGGAGATCACTGCGAGTCCAATCTAGTAGTGAGATCCTGAACACCCTGTAGACCCTTCCCTAAAAATATTAAATCTTTGGTCCAATATTTTTTACTTCATTACTGTTAACACACTCCCTATGAATGATTTTTAGCTACTCTTTCTTTGAGGAGGCACAAGTAGAAGTTGAAAATAGACAGGAAAGATATCTCCGTACTTCCTCAATGAGAGGTCACTGCGGACAGAAATTTTGACAAACCTTCCTTTCATTACGGGTCATGTTCCTATTCCTCTAATTTGTTGGAGTTAACAGACAGGCTTACAACACACAAGGTTGGAGCAGCTTTCTGGGTAAGGAGAACCTGAGACATCGCCTTCCTGTTGCCATACTTCTTTAAACCCTCCGTAGTGTATTTTGTCTTAGAAATATGAGTAATTTAAAGCTTACCAAGTTGGTTTTAGAATTCTCTGTGGAATATTTTTTGACCATAGTTGACCACAGGTATGTAAAACTACAAAAAGTAAAACTGGATTAAAGGCAGAATAAAAGGGAGGCCCTAAATAGAAATATTTGGTTCTGCTGTCACTGGCAACTCATACTTAGAGATCCTCGCAGGATATTTGGTGAATTTCTCTCTAGGAAAATACAAATACAGTACTCACCAACACACAAATCCAGCTTACATAGATCTAATGGTGTGCTGGACTGTGTGCTAACTATTTGCTTCACGAACTCAGGCCACCTGACATCCCAGGGTGTGTGCAGAGTGAAGGGGAGGCCACTCTGGAGGGACAGCCTGCTGACCCTGTGGGGATGCTCAGCAATCAGCCTCCCTGCCACATCACGTTCCAAGGATTTTCTTCAGCATGAGTGAATGGTCACGAATAACTAGAATCTGCCTTAATCCAACAGTAGGAATCAGGAACTCCAGAAGGAAAACAAAGGGAAAGGCAAAAAGAGTATTCATGAAAATGGATACCTATGGGCAGCATAAGAAAACTTCAAAACCCACCAATTAATACCCTCAGAGACATGTTTAGAACAGTTTGGAGGCTCTGAAGGAATCAATGTTTGAATAACCAAAAAGAGCTCTTGGCTACAAAACCTGGAGCTTAAGGAGTGATTTCACGTGCCCTTCACTAACTGTTTACAACCGCATGCAAGCTTTGTGCTGGGCAACTCAGGGGATGCCAGGCCTTTCTGGCCACTTATGTCTCCTAAGCACCTGTCTTTTATACTTAGAAGGTGCTTAGGAGGCTGTCAGTATGATGGCGGTTATTTCCGTACTTCACGTGAAGCACTCTAATTTATATAACTTTACATGCATTTCAGACGTTTTTAAGAATGTTGTTTTTATTTATTTATTTATTTTTGTATTTTAGGGAAGGGTCTACAGGGTGTTCAGGGTCTCACTACTAGATCAGACTTGTAGTGATTCTCCTGTTTTCAGCCTCCCAAGAGCTGGGATTACAGGTGCAGGCCACCAAGGAATATTGTTTTTAGAAAGTGCATTTAAGTCATAAAGGTTCTTTTCAATTTTTTTATTTTTTAAGATATTACAAATTAGCATTAAAACAGAAAATATTAAAAGTGATGCAGAATTTCACTTAGCAAAATAATATGAATTTCACAATATTTGTTGTTAATAATAGTGTTATTTTCCAACCAGTTATTCATATTACCAGATATATGCATATAAAATTGAGGAAGAAAGAAAAAAGAAAGAAATGTATAATAAATTAAGGGGAGA